GATTACTAGCATAATCCGAATTCAACTGCTTCTCTGCCAACCAGCCTTTTTCTGTTCTTCGGCTTAAGGAATAGACATCAGAACTCCTTCCAGCATGAAAAAACCTTCCCGGCTCTCGAACAAGCCAAATGGCCTCAATCTTTTGGCCACTGAGTAGACTAAAACATTTAATTTGGTTCTTCCTTGTGTGAGTGAAGCAGTCCTTTTAGAAAACAGACAAACACCTGCCTCACAGTTGTTGAGCCAACAGGTTGAATTTTCTCTGAAGGATAATCCAATTTGCTAAGAATGGACAAATAATTCAGAAATGAAAAGCCTGTTACTGGTCTCCTCTGTTTTGGAGTCCCACCAAAGAGGGAACTCGCCCCCTTCCCCAAACCCGGGGAAGCAGAGGCTCTCATAAGACACAATGCTTCAGGAATGCTGGCAGAAGCTGTGCAGGTTTGCTTTCCATCCTATTGTCTTATCCTGTCAGCTCCCTCATCTCCCAGAATCCAGGCTCAATAATTTACAGCGGAAAGACGTTTAATAAATAAACGGCCAGATTGGAGCTGTCAGCTCTGCACAATGGGGCTGTTTGCATCTTTCCCTCGGCCTCAGTACCCACTCTCCTGGCTTGCGTTGGCTAAAACAATCCAGTTTGCTATTTTCATAAAATTAGTTCCTCTGCAGTTTCTATTAATCAGAACATTCTTTGGAGAGAATTATTCTGGGATTTAATCACCATTGGAGTTCAACCATTATGTGAATCTGATGAATTTTTATCACCTCTATGAGCGGCAGAGAAGGTAAAAAACTTGGGCGAGCTGAGGTAAGTAGGCAGAGAGTTCTCCCCTCATATCCTCTGAGGTCTCACAGACCTGAGGTCTCACAGAACCCAAAACAGTCGCCCCTGTCAAACATCTGAGCAGCTTGCTCCCACAGACACATCTCTCTCTCTCTCTCTCTCTCTCTCTCTCTATATATATATATATATATATATGAAATTCTGAATCTTCTTGGGGTCATGAGCTCTTAAAAATCTGAAGAAAGCTATGTATACTCTCCCCAGAAAAGCCTACATATGCACATAACCACTAAGCCTTCCATTCAAAGGGGTCTGTGGACACTCTCCCTCCTCTCCCTGCACATATGGCCCATCCATGGACTCCACACTAATAACAGTGCATCCTATGGCTTTCTAATCATCCTCATCTCCCTGAAGAAACTTAGACTGGAATAGAAACTCAGCCACCTCGGAATTCCTTTACTGAAGGAGAAAAAGAGATTTTTTTAAAAGAGAAAAAGAACGTAGAAGTGGGAAAGTTTCTCATTATGGTCAAATACATTTTGAGAAATGAGGGAAAAAAGGAAAAACAGAAAAGAACTCATATTGGCTGAAGGAATGCAAGTGCAAGGATCCATCAACCGATTATGGTACACTGTATTTGTCTAGATGGGACATGGGATCAGAATTAGGAAAGATATGATGAAATCTCCTTGCCTCCAGACTATACAACACCTATCCCATCCTAAGATAGATAAGCTCTACATGAGAAAAGACACAGCATGGATGAAAGAAATTTTGGACCAATGGAACCAGGATTCTAATACCAGCACTGTCCACAGACTATGTGGTTTTAGGCAAAAAATAATTTGTCTCTATAAATGTTAATTTTTTTTTTCTATCAATGTTAATTTTCATTTTGTTTTTTAACATGATTTCCAAAGTCTATTTCAGTTCCAACATTTCATGGGACCTGATTCATTACATACCTCTTAAAAAAAAAAAAAGATTTTATTTATTTATTTGAGAGATAGAGAGAGAGAGAAAGAGCATGCGTGAGAGAGAGCGATTATGAACCGGAGGCAGAAGGAGAGGGGTAAGCAGACTGCCCCTTGAGGAGGGAGCCCAATGCAGGACTCGGTCCCAGGACACTGAGATCATGACCTGAGCTGAAGGCAGACGCTTAACTGATGAGCCACCCAGGCATCCATCATTAGCGATGTCTAAGATAGTTAGGCTCAAAACTTTTTCTTAAGGGCCCAGCAGTAAATATTTCAGGCTTAGGGGCCATACAGTCTCTATATTAACTACTCAGCTCTGGTGTTGTAAAGTCGAAGCAGCCACAGACAACCTGTGAGCATACCTGTGTTCCAGTAAAACTTTACTTACAGACACTAAGACTTGAATTTCATATGGTTTTCACACTTTTCTTCTTTTGTTTTTTCCCAAACCATTTAAAAATGTAAAATTCATTCTTAGCTTGTAGGTCATACACAAAATAGATGGCAGGCCAGATGAGGTCCCCAGACCATAGTTTGCTGACCCCTGGTCTATAGCATCAGGTAAACATTATGACCTGGAACATCACGCTGCTAATTCTGGATGACCTTGGAAAGCCAGTAACTTGGGTTTAACAAGTGACAATTGTACTGGGGGAAATTTTTGTTTACCCAGTTTCCCAATTAGCAGAATAGAACAATGGTAGCTTTTGAGTCTCAGCTAATAACCAACAATTACTTAGGTTTGGGGTACACTTCCAGACCTACAGAAATGCTCAAATAACCACACATGAGAAAATGTATATAAAACAATTCATGACTCTCTGGCAGAAAAAGTTTTGACTATAAAGTGAACATGAAAAGTTTATGCCTTCAGCTGAAATCACTCCTTACCAGCCATAGTCTTTTTGCTACCTCTGTCAGACAGCATAACAAATCATTTTACACATTGAAGAAAGAGTCAATTAGGCCCTGGTTTGTGTTGTTATTGCTTGAACTTTGTGGTTTGTTTAGGAGAAAAGGAAATTGTAATTAAACAAATGATATGCATATACATATTATGCCTAATACATTCTACAAGTACAATATTAACAGTACATATACAGCAGAGATGTGTAGCAACGTGGAGAGGCACTGTATTACACTTGACAGAGGAGACAATTTTTAAAAGGAGAAAGGTTGGATAGTCAAGTAATCAATCTTCTCTAGAGTGAACTCTGATTAAGAGACAGCAAAAGATGGAGCACTATGGTGACAGCACTTCTCTCAATTTCAGTGAGAGGGTAGAATATCATTATTTAATCAGAAAACTAATACCTCCTCCCAGTTAAGGGGTAAGATAGAGGTGGGGCTCCAGGGGAGGGTCCCTTGATGTGAGAGGAAACCTAAAATATTATATCCATCTGGGAAGATGTAAGAGGTTTGGAGTGCCTTCTCAGTCATGCCTTATTCTTAATTTATAATTTAACTAAAGTCAGATTGATCATTTGAAGTATAAGGTTAACTTTCCCAATCTCGAACTTTTGAACACTTTCTCCCCAAAACATTAAGAAGTCAGAACTGGTTCTAACCAGTTGGTCTAAATGGTGTTATTTTCCATTATTTGTCTCCACTCTGGCTTAGACCAGTCTCCACATTATTACCCAGATACTCAATGCTCATTCATGTCTCATTCTCTTTGTTCAAACTGTTTTCTCACCCTGGATTCCCTTCTACCTCTGTTCTACCTTTTCCATTCCTACCCACATGCCAGGTCCCAGCATTCATGCTAACTATACCACAAAGACCCCCAATTAAATCCAGCCAAAACACTATTTCCCCCAAAGAATATGAGTGAAGAAGTGCTCTGAAAACTACAAAATGCTCTGCAAATATGAAGTGTTATTATTATTATTATTATTATTATTGAGGGCAATTAAGTTTGGCTCATATTATCTCTTGCCTTAACGTATTTCCTAATTGTTTCATATGCTGTTGGCAGTAACAAACCATAGCTTACTAAGTAATCACAGGAATCACACAGTATTTTCTGTATCCTTATAGTCTCTACCAGTGCTTAAACACAGTTAACACTCGATTCCAATGAAATGAATTCATCAAAATAATGGCTTTCTTAACCTCAGAGGTCTGCATTGGGCCAAGTGGTTCAGTTGTTAAACACATAAGAAGTAGTTTGTTAGGACATATGACTGCAAATGAAACCTTAAAAGTAAATTTGAGACTTACATTTAATGGAATTCAACCATCTTCTTCCATTTTACCCATAAAGCTATGACGCAGGAGCTGAATTCTCTAAATCAGAGCTTCAGTGTTGCAGGACTGAATAGTTTGCTTCGTGATATTTCAGAATGTTGTCTAAGGTCAAAGATGCAAGTACTGAAGTTCTCAAATTTGGTATTGTTTATTTTGAGTGTTGTCTGTTTTCCCTTCCTGATTCAGCCGTGGAGCGTGTATCCTCTGTCCTATTTCCATTGGTTGGCCTGATTTATGGATATTTTGGTCTAACGGGCCATACAAAGCTTTGGAACAAAATCACGGCGAGCTTTAGTTTGCAGTTAGGTAACAGCAGTCGGCTAAGGCATGGACCAGTTCCAGCCGCCTGGAGGTGTGGCTACTGATTTACTTGATGGACCCTGGCCTCGCTTCTTCAGTCTGTCGCGTGAGAAGAATCATTCTTGCCACAGTCTACTTCCTAAGGCTAACGGAAGAACAGCTCCAAATAAAATAAGGCGAGGCAAGGATAAACGAAAATATGACGCTGGTACATACAACTTGTGCTTCGGATTCGGTTCCGTCCGGGGGTGGGATGGGGTGGGAGGTTTTGGGGACCCTCAATGTCAGGGCCTGACCTCACCTCTCTGAGGCCTAACCTGACTTGCCCCTGGAGTCCCACCATTCACCCAAACCAGTGGGTCGGGGACTGAGATGTCCATCAGACTCCGAAACAGACATTGACGTCTAAACCTCTGCACAAATCTCAGACTTCGAGACTAGGCGAAGGTGTTGCCTTCCTTCGCTTCACAGCCTCGCTGCAGTCTCCATAGTAACAGCGAGGGAGGCCGGGAGAGCCGCCTAACAACCCGCCCCCACGCTAGACTGACCAATAGTTCCGTGGGTTACCTAAAAGGTGGCGTGATTGACAACAGGGTGGGACGGGAGGCGGAGCCAGGACTGCCTCGATCCAATCGAACTTGAGGCCGGTCTCGGGTCCAATAGCACCCACCAATCGGAGGGCGTAACGGAGTGCGACGTGCCCACCCACCACGCTCAGCGTTGCCTGGAGGCGCTGCTGTTGTAAGCAAATGAGAAGAAAGCTGGGCGTTGAAAGAGCGGCGCTGATTAGCGAATCTGGAATCACCTGGATGAAAGCCCACTCGTGATTCGTCAAAAGTAGACCGAAGCCCCTGTGGGCTGGAACGGGCCGGACAGTGAGGTGTGAGTAGGGGACCTGGGAGAGGGAGGGCCAGGTGAGGGGGAGGCGAGGAAAGTTGCGGGGGCGTGGGGTGCTGCAGCGAAGGGAGAATGGCGGGGGCTGGGGCTGAGAAGGCTAGAAGATGCCGCGGGCGGATGGCTCTGCGCGGACCCTCAGACCACCCTTACCGCCGACCTGCTCCCAAGGCCTGCGGCTAATAAACACTTAATTGGGGCTGAGAAAGAAGAGATGCTTTCTTTGTCGTGCTCCTAAGAAAGTGAAATGTCAGTGTCTGATTCAAATACCTTATGACCGAGACCGTAGTCTCTCCAGTTACTGCGAGGTAGCCCGGCGAACATTCTGATGAGACCTGGGGGCGACGTTTTCCTGCCGCCAGTTTGAACGAGCCGCAGGGCTGGGAGAGACGCTAGAGCCCCAGTTCTGGGGTGCTGACTCCAGCGCTGGAGTGCTGCTGTCCGGGGAGCGCCTGGGGAGGTAGCTTCCAGACGGCCCGCACGCCGCCCAGGAAAGTGGGTGGAAGGACGTGTCTGGATCCACGGATCCCCCTTTTCTCGCAGTGCGTTAGGACCTGATGCCACATCGATGGCATTTAGGTAGCTCCACGATTGATTTCTCCCAGGCTTGCATTTTACTTAATTACAAAGGTAGAAGCATTATCCTAGTACATTAAAATTCAAACCGTAGTGAAATGTTTACTGTAGAAAAATGTATGTGTGATATTCCCCTCCCACCCCATTATATTTGAAGGTTTGGAATGGTTATAAAGGAAAGTGGAAAGGAATCCTGAAGAAGGGCCATTCATTCCTGTAATCTCTGTTTTCTGCTGCCTTCAAGGCCTTGAGTCTGAAAATGTAGGAATGGGTTAGATATCTAGCTCCCACCACCAGCTCCACTAGGACCAACTTACCCTCCACGGAATCCACATTTGTACCTGACTGTAAGTCATCTCCTAATGACCATTAGTATACTCACACATGATGGACAGCCATGGCGAGCAGTTTATTTTTAATCTACTGGGCTGTATGCATGAATGTATGCCTCTTTCAGTTTTCTCTGAGAGCTGTGAGAAAGGGTATATAGAACTAACAATAAATGAATGAGCAGTGCACTATACAGACCTCTAAAAGTTTGGGACGATCTCTTTCCTAAGAAAGACCTCACAGTAGGAGCACAGAGGGGGGAAATTGGCCCTGGGGTTGCTCTGGTCGTCAGCTACTAAACAGGGTGTTCAAATGGAGACATTACTTTATTCTGACTCTAGTCCACCTGCTTTAAATACCACAGACTTAAGTGGACTTACTCTGGAAAGCAAGTTGGCTAAACCATCTGTTCTCAAAGAAGGTTTGAAAAAGTCCCAGATACGAATCCAAAACATCATTGTTTTAATTTTTTAATCATATTTATTTACTCAATAATTTACTCAATAATTTAGCTCAATAATTACTCAATAATTAATCAATTATTTACTCAATAATTTAGCTATTCCACTATGAGAAATAATCGTTAGTATTATTCCCACACAGAATTAACAAGATAAAATGACCAGATGTTCACATCTTTCCCACAGCAGCACTCTATACTATATTCAGGCTTCTCTTTCCATGCTTAGCCAGAAAATGTACACAGTTTGGTTATAAAGTGATGAACCGCATTCTTAGAAGAGCTTGGGGATAGTTGTCTCATTACTTTAAAGCCATTCCACATACGGATTCCCAGTGTCTCATGAACCTTTAATATTCCATGGGGGATTGAAGGGCCTTGTTTCTAATGGTACCAACTTCAACCATCACTTGCCTTGTTTCTAGGTGTTAGAGTTGGTCCAAGTTTTACAAGTTATTTCTATAATTTATCCCAAACATCAGCAATTAAACTTGACTAGTTATCTTGTTAGGGTAGTGCCATCAGCACAGTCAACTAAGCAGGAAACCTGAGTCATCTCTAATACCTTTTCCCTTGACTCCTTTCCATTTCCACAGCTAAGACAGAAGGCCAGACCCTCATCATCCCTTATCCAGAGAGTCCCCTACTGGTCCTCAGTCTGGTCTCTGATCTCGATTCATATGCACTGAGCCTCCAGCTACCTCTTTAAAAATTAAGAATTCTCTGAAGAATTTCAGAAATTGAGACTATTACATTGGCTAGTATAACAGATACCTATGCCCTACTAACTAGCTTAACAAACATGAACATTTTGGCACATCTGCTCAAGTTTTTTCTTTTAAAGAAACAAAAAACATCACTGATTTAATTAAGATCCTTCTGTTCTCTTTTCTAGCCCCATTTGCTTTCCTTCGGAAATTGTTGTGCATCGTTCATGCCCATGTATTTTTTTTTTTAAGATTTTATTTATTTGACAGACAGAGATCACAAGTAGGCAGAGAGGCAGGCAGAGAGAGAGGAGGAAGCAGGCTCCCTGCCGAGCAGAGAGCCCGATACAGGGCTCGATCCCAGGACCCTGGGATCATGACCTGAGCCAAAGGCAGAGGCTTTAACCCACTGAGCCCCCCCAGGTGCCCCATGCCGATGTGTTTATATTTGTACAATATATATGCATTTTGTAAACAATATGTCAATTTTTAAAGATTTATTTATATTAGAGAGAGAGCTTGTGTGAGAGAGTGCAGGGCGGGGAAGGAGGCAGAGGGAGGGCGAGAGAGAAACTTAAGCAGACTCCACGCTGAGCAGAGAATGCTGAGTAAGAGCCCTACACAGAACTTGATCTCATGACCCTGAGATCACAATGTGAGCTGAAACCAAGAATCAGATGCTTATTTGCACCACTGAGTGGCACAATCGGTTACTTTTATTACTTTCTTAATTTTGAAAATACAAGTGGTATCACACTGTAGGCTTCATTTTGTAATTTGCTTTTATCACTCAACATTGTTTTGGAGATAACATTCATATCAATATAGATAGCCAAGTTCATTTTAAGTGTTCATAATGAGTATATAATATTGTATCCATTCCCTTATTGATAGACCTTTAGGTTTTTTTCAGATGTTTTGCTCTTTTGAAAAAAAACTGCAGTGAACATCCTTGTACATGTCTCTTTATGCAAGAGTTTTTCTAGAGTGTTTGTTCTCCAAGGGGATGGTACCACCCTGTCGGTCATTTTGGAATTTGTGAGAGCACATTTGGTTATTATTGTGATTTGGAGACCCTACTGGGGTTTACGGAGCAGGGCTGGGGATGCTAGGCTGCCGTGAAGAATTGTCCTGCATCCTGCACCATTTTCGAGTGTCCCACAGGATCCTCATTTCCAATCTCAGCCTAGAACCTAACTCCATTTTTCATATAAACATAATGTATTCTTTGGCACAGTGTGACATAGTAAAATTTCCAGGAATGCAACTCAAATGTAAATCAAGGGGAAATTATACTTACTTGTGTTTTGGAACTTTCACAAGAGTTGTTCATCACTTGAGAAAATCATAGAGCTGAAGGCAGCCCAGCTCGTGGTATTTGAGTTGCCATACAGCACACCTGCATGGGCCCGCATTTGTAGCTTTACGCTCATGAGGATTCTAAGTTTAGGTGCAAGCATCTGACTGCTGTACTTCATTATATATTCTGGTGTAGTCAGCCTGAACATTTGTATATTTAAACATATGCTGTTTTATTATGAATTACTTTCCATTTAAAATTGGCTTGTATATGACATAAAGTAGAGGTCAAGTATGACTGCTTTCTGATTGGATAATCATTTGTCCCAACACCATCCATGAAATCCTTTACCTGCTGAATCAGAACCAACTCTGTCCTGTACCAAGTTTTCATAAATGCATGGATCTGTTCCTGGGCTCTCTATTTTATTCCACTGATCCATGTGTCTTTATGCCATATCACACTGTTTTAATTACCTTGGTTTTATAATGTGTCTTGCGGCAGTTGGTAACAAGAAAGGCAAGTCTCCCTCCTAGTTCTCAAAATTGTTTTCGCTATTCTTGGGCTTTTGCTCTTGCATATGAATTTGGGATACGTTTTCAAGTTCCATGAGCTCCACAAAAAACTATTTTGAGATATTGGTTAGAATTGCATTGAATTGATTTTGAGATCTTTTATTATTGAACCGTCCCGTCCAGGAATGTTGGTTATTTCTCTACTCTGGTTATTCTATTCAGGCATTTAAAGAAAAATAGCTTTGGGGGTGCCTCGGAGGCTCAGTCAGTTGAGTGTCCGACTCATGGTTTTGGCTCCGGTCATGATCTCAGGGTCATGAGATCAAGCCCTGCCTTGACCTCCTCACTCAGCACAAGGTCTGTTGTCCCTCTCCCTACCCCCTTGCGAGTTCTCTCTCTCTCTCTCTCATAGGCAGATAGATAGATAAATAGATAAATAAATAAATAAAATATTTTTAATACCTTTGAATAAAGTTTAGCAATTTTTGCTGTAAAAATCTTAACACACCTTTCTTTGTATTTATTCCTACTTATACACAGAAATACACACATCTTTCTACTATGAAAGTTTCAAATACATTCAAAAGTGTAAAAAATAGTATAGCAAACACTCATGTACTCATGATCCAGCTTCAACAGTTATTGCATGACCAGTCCTATTTCATGTTAACCCCCTTCACCTTTCCCTGGATAATCCTGAGGTTCCGGGACATATATTATCGGTGGTATGTCTGTGCATGTCTATATGTATGTTGTAATCTTTTAGCAGTGTAACCGCGGTGTCATCACATTTTTTTTTTTTAAGATTTTACTCATTTGGGGGAGACAGAGAGAAAGTGCATGTGGATGAGCATGAGTGAGGGGAGGAACATTGGGAAAAGGACAGGCAAGATTCTGAGCGGAGCTTAGAGTGGAACCTGGGGCTTGATCTCATAATCCTGAGATCATGACCAGAGCCGAAACCGAAAGTCAGCCACTTAACCCACCCAGACACCCCAATATCTTCACATATAAAACAAAATAATAATTCCCTAATACTATCCAATATGCAAATACTGTTCAGAGTTCCCCAGTTGCCTCATGAAAGGTTTTTGACGTTT